GAAATACTGGTAACTGCATAAATTACCAGTATTTAGGTGCATTTGATGTTTACAGAACTTTACTTGGTTGTTGCCCCACTGGAACACCAACATCGTTGAATTGGCTGTTAGGAGGAAAGACATTTGAATTAAATCCAGGATCAGAATAAGGAGGTGGTGGGCCATAATAAGGAAAATCATTTGGGTCAGGTGCTGATGGTGCTTGGTTAAGATAACTTGCTACTGTGCTTTTGGCTAACTTAATATCATCTGCTTCTCTTTCATGTTTCATATGAAAAGCTAAGCCACCCATAAAACATACCAAAGAATGAATGCCGAGAGCAACTAAACCCCAAGTTGGTAAAACTGGATAGACAACACAAGCTATTAAACCGGCCAAAGAAGCAGCAGAACCTAGAAATTCTATATTTCTAAGTGTCTTCAGCCTGTTATCTAAATAATCTATTTTCCCTGACTTTCTTGCCGTTTTTTTGCTACTGTGGTACTGATAACATATTGAAATGTGAAAGATAGCGACCACAACCACAACTACTATACCTGCAGCTAACAGTTTTCTACCATCATCCGCTTCTTTTTTCTTATCTGTATGATTGGTACTATTGTTACCACCATTACCATAATTGAAGTTAGTTATGTTATTAGTGGTATGACCGCGTCCACCAAATAAAGAGTTAAACCAACATTGCAATAGTAAACAATCCCAAAAATCCGAATGTGTATTGACTTGCACATGTTCTATACGGATGGTTTGTGGTTGCTCTGTATTTGCTTGGGGACCAGTATTTGGTTGAAAATGATATGTATTGTTTTGTCTAGGCTGTCTAGCTTGTTGAGCAATAAACTGTTCATATAGTCTATCAAAATGTTCTTCATTCCAACCCTTTTGTATTGCTTGTGTTGAATTGAATACAAGTGGTAAAAAATACTGAATTTTATTACTACTACCAAATTTCTTTATGAAGGCTAAAGCATACCTTTCCGCATCACGTGCTAACATATGTAATTCTCCTATTGTAAATCACTATTAAAAATTAAATAAATCTTAACTATTCTAACATAAAATACTTTATTTTCAATAGTTTTGTTGCTTGGCTAAAAGTTACATAACCTGGAACTATAAACACTTGAACCCTTTGCTGCTTGTAAACCATTTACCTTTCCCTTGTGGATAACAAGATTTGAACAATAAAAACTTTAGTTTTTAACTTATTACTAGTAGTATCTATATAAATAAGTTACCTTATGTCTAATCTAGGAAACATATTATTATTAATAGCTTGTCTATTATCTATAACGTATCTATTTCTTCCACTACGCTTATATAGTCCTACTACTTTTTTTATATTCCTATGTGTATCAATACCATTGACTATTTTAATTTACTGCCATATTACAAACGACTTTACACTTGAAAATGTGTACTATCACTCGCACACAACAAAACCTTTGCTCTATAAAATTTGCGGTGCTTGGGGTAATAAAGAAGGCTCCATGTTGCTTTGGATTTTTGTACTCACTTTATATCTGTTATTAATGAATATTTTTATTGATAACGATAATAAGCTGAAGAGAATATCTATGATTACTCAGTCATTAATTTGCTTCTGCTTTTTACTGTTTACTTTATTTGAATCTAACCCCTTTACGAAAATGCCAAGCATTGAAACAGATGGACTAGGTTTCAATCCAATATTACAGGATGTAGGTCTTGCCATTCATCCCCCAATATTATATCTAGGGTATCTTGGTTTTAGTGTTGCTTTTTCACTTTCAATAGCTGGATTAATTACAGGAATGGAGGGAGGTGCTTGGGCTAAAATTGTAAGGCCCTGGGTGCTTATATCTTGGTCATTACTCACTTTAGGTATCAGTCTTGGTAGTTGGTGGGCGTACCGTGAACTTGGATGGGGTGGGTTTTGGTTTTGGGATCCTGTAGAAAACGTTTCTTTGATGCCGTGGTTAATCGCAATAGCACTGACACATTTGTTACTTGTAGTTCGGAATTTTAACACCCTGAGAAATTTTGCCATTTTGCTTGCACTTGTAACTTTTATTTTGAGTATCACAGGAACTTTTATAGTACGTTCTGGAATATTAGCTTCAGTGCATACATTTGCAGATGATCCAAGATATGGGCTATATATACTGATTCTGCTTGGTATTGTTGTAGGTAGTAGCCTGTTGATATTTATTATGTTTGCAAAAAAAAGTAATACATCAAAGCCAACTTTCCCC